ATATACATATCGTCGTTTAAAGTACAAAACCGCGTAACGTCGTTTTGCAAAACCGCTTAACAAAAATTTGATTTGCTCACGCAAGCTCTTGGCTCACTCCGTATCCATTCATCCTGAAATATACTAGCCAGAAATGCGATTGCTTTATAAAAAAAAAAGTGCGCCTAGGCCACACTGGAGAAGTGAAACTTACGTTACATACCTATTTTTACTCATAACCAATATACATACATACATACATCTGCTTTTGCTTAAGGTTATATTTTTTTCTTTTTTCTATCTAGATCCCTACCTCTACCCTGTTCGTTCTAATTGCATTTATGTTATTCTGGTTTCCTTTATCTGCATTTGTATCTTTATACTCTATCGACAACAAAATCGATAGTAACATCCAACAAAATATCGATAACAAAACCGGTAAAAATATCCATAACAAAATCCATGACAAATTCGATAAAAAATTCGATAGCAAAATCGATAATAATATCGATAATAAAATCGATAAAAATATCTATAACAAAATCGATAGATAATCGACAACAAAATCGATAACAAAAATCTATTAAAAAATCGATAAAAATATCGGTGACAAAATCGATAAAAATATAGATAACAAAATTTGTAAAAATATCGGTAACAAAATAATCCGAAATTTACTTTTGTTATGCAAAAACTTCCGATAAAAAAACTATTTTCAACTCGGAGGAGGTGTAAAACTGTAGGCCGCTCCATGCACACTACAAATTCTAGGAGAAGCTCAGCCCAAACACTTTTTAAGAGGTCTCTATGTGTTAAGTTCTGAGGAATGCTCACAGCGAATGCGTAAGCAGAAAATGTCTGATGGCCCCATTTATTTATTCATTTCAAACCGAATGAAAATTGTCTTCAACCAACACTAATTTTACATCACAATTTCAAGTCTTGTAAATATTTTATTTTCAGTTGTCATATAGATTCTGCATATTCATTCCATAATATCGTGATTCAATAATAGAATCATGCCATAAAATATAAATTTTAATTCTAATACATAACTACATACTTATAACTATATACATATACAATCGCAAGTCAATTTGATTAAAACACAGTTATGGAGCTGAAGACAATACTGCGGATCGTGGAGCTGGTGAGCGAAATGCCTCCTTTACGCATGTGCCAAATTCGAAATTTAGGTCTCGTAGGTAATAGCTGTTGTTCTACTGGTCATTTGGTATGTTCTGGGCGCATATGCAAATAGGGTGATGATAGTGTGTGGTACTGTTCTTGGATTTGTCATCATTTGCGCTGTACTAGTGGCCCGTAAGCTATATATTAAATAATAAGATTTTTCATAAATATTTTAAATATGCATTTCTTCACAGTTGAATTCATGGACTTCCAAGATTCTCATGCCTTTACATTAATTGGCGCTATTCTATTTATTATCTGTGGCGGAATAAGTATCGGAACGATGCCTGATTATGGTGACGGGAGGGTTACCTGCCTAATCGCAGGAATTTTATTCTTTTGTAATGGCGTAGTTTTTCTAGTTGATTTCATTTTAGAAGTTAAAAATAACTCTGGCGGCAGGGCCTAAGGACATGCGTACATAAATATGTATTGACATAGTTTTGGCATTCAATTCACTGCGAATATTCAGAATATTTGAAATGATTAGATGCACGGTTTTAATAAATACATTTATTTGATTCCGAAATTAAACAAATACAGACGTTCCATGCGGAGACACGTTTTTATACCTTTCATGAGCATGAAATGGTATTATAACTTTGGTCCGATGTTTGTAAGTACCAGAACAAAAAGAGATAGACCCATTAAAATGTATACTTTTATGATCAGAACGTCGAGCTGAGTTGATTTATCCATGTCCGTCTGTCCGTCTGTCCGTCTGTNAATAATACAAAGTCTACTGAGAAAATCGTCAAAATCTATGCTGTATAAGCTTTATCTCCTATAGCACTGATTGTTCAGATACCACTTTTTGCGATATATCTCCTTTATGTACGAAACTAAACCCAATAAATTGTGTTACCGGTTTACATACCGATCACATAGCGGTGAAAATCACTTAGATTGGTGCCATATAAAGTATATCTTCCATACCTCTGATTGTTTAGGTGCGATTTTTTATATAAGTATGTAACTCCTCTATCGATGTATGCAGATGTATTCAAACTCAGTAATCTGTCAAACTAAAATTTGCAGATGTTCATGAAAGGTATGAAGCCTTCGGCATAGCCGAAGACAGCGCTGCTCTTGTTTTCATCATAAAATCGTAACCTTTAGAGTATAAAAAAGTGTATGTGAAGAGAGTTGGTTAAAGCATGATTTTTATCATGGGTTAAAGTGTTTCCTCTTGGAATAGAGAAGGTCATAAGAGGTTGATAAATACACATTAAACTTCAAAAAGAAAGTACGTTATGACTGTAGAGCGCTCGCTCTAAACATAAAAATTTATAGATGTATATAACTTTGCTTGTTGCTGACTAATTGCCCAACAAAAGAGTACTGATTGACCGATCTAAACGAAGAAAATTTATAGAGATCTAAAAGTTTAAAAGAAGGGGTTTATAGAATATGTTTTCATGTAGAGTCTTATAAAGCCCTTTTAGAATATACATATGTATGCTCGTTATTCGAAACCCCTTTAAGAGCACAGTCTACGTGTAATGCCATGTAAAAAACATGTTCCCTTTAACTTGGGATTTTGTGTTATCCAAAAGGCAAACTTCAGAATTCTCTTTAGGCAATGGGTGTCCAAACTTTTTGTTTCCCTGGGCCCTATTGAAGGAAGGCATGGTGTTTTTAGCCACAATTTCAGTGCCATAGCCAATACCCAAAGTTGTCACTTTCTATAGGATTAATACTACTATTAAGGTGTGGTGAATTTAGGTGTGGTGAATTTAGCTGTGGGGAGTTAAGGTGTGGTGAGTTGAGGTGCACATCTTAACTCCTCACACCTAAATTCACCACACCTTAATTCATCACAATTAAACTCCCCACAACTAAATTCACCACACCTAAACTCACCATACCTGTTAAGCCCACCACACCTAACTCCACCACACCTCAACTTTCTCACCACACCTCATATCACCACACCTCAACTTACCACAACCTTATGTGTGGGAGTTAAGGTGTGGTGAATTAATGAGTGGTGAGCACAGGTGGAGTTTAAGCGGAGGTGATATGAGTTGAGGTGAGTTAAGTTAAGGGGAAAATTACCAAAAATTAGAATTTTGCCACATTAAAGTCAAAATATATCATAACAGCCAATTTCACGAGAGCAATTTAAGGGAAAAATTATTTTAATGTTTGAATTTTATATGGAAACTGACAGAAAATAAAAAATTATTTTCTACTTAAATTGCTGGTGAAACTGGCTGTAAAAGAGTCAACGTTTACTCTCTGTAACGCAAAATTTTTTTGAAATTTTGTTGGCCTGTGTAATCAGGTGAACTTTGTCTCATTTTTGTCGTAAAAAAATAATATATTAAAAGTTAAGAAATTATAGGTATTTTTTTATTAAAATAATAAAAAAAAAATTAAGATGTAATGGGTACTTTTAGCTCAAAATAATTACATTTTTTTTAAGTCAAGAGCAAATCGTAGTCCATAGCGAGAGAGATACTTTTTCGCTGTCTTTTTGATTTCAATATCCAAAAATAACTTTTATTTACAGTCTCTGCATATTTAACAGCTTAAAGTCTAAATTAAAACTAATATCACATAATTTAATTTGTAGTAGTAACAATTTTTCCAGTCCAACAGCACCTTTACTTATATTAGTACCGATTCAAGTCGTAGGTATTTTTTGATGTCTCCTTAATCACTGGCACTTCTCGGCGGCTACAATGAGCATGGAAGTAAATCATAAAGAATATATACGTAAATAAAATAAAATGCTGAAGAAATTCAAATTCACATAAGCGAATACGAGTAAAGCAGGACAAGGGTAAACATGAAGAAAATCTATTGCGATGACTCCAGTCAAATGAAAGAAAAAAACAAATGTAAAAAACAATTTTTGACATGGTGAATCTATATATATAAAATTAAGTGGCAAAACTTCCTGTTCGCATACTCCTCCTAGACGGCTTGCCCGATATCAAAGAAATTTTCAGGGGTGATTGGGGTCTGTGTGGACGGTGCACATAAGAAATTTCATGTGGGTATCTTTGCACGTTTTGCAAAAACAAAAAAAAAAGAGTAATTCTGTTTGGCTTTACGTGTTTTTTTCGGATTTCTATCATCCTAGACGGCTTGTCCGATTNGGTAACAAAAAATATGATTGAATTAGCACACGTTTGAGGAAAGGGTGCGATAGTAGACTCCAGTTATAAGATTATAAATTAAATTTCCAAAAGAAAGTGTGTACTTTACATATTTTCTAATTACCTTCGAAAATATATTAATTAACACCCACACTCAAAAAAGTAAACAATGCTTCATATATCGAATATTTTTTTTAGATCTTACTTCATAAAGCTCTTTAAATATATTGTATAAATGAGGTCATATGAGTTTTGGGAGAGGGTTACAACACAAAAATACATTTATAGCGCAGCGAAGCACGCCGGGTAATTGCTAGTTGTGTATAAAATTATCTACGAAAATGTTAATAAGTAGCATACTTGCATTTTTAAGGAACTGCGCTATTTTAAATAACTTCACAAACAAAATTTAACCCATACTTTTGTGACTGTTCAATGGCAGCCGTGACGGACGCCCTGTGAGATTCTGTAAACCTTCATTTTGTTAATTATACCCATACAAAATTCTATTTTTATTATTTTATTTGATAAAAATTTAAATTTTTATTCAAATTATACAAAATTAATACACATAGTTTTTCGTCAGTTTTTAAATACACAAAACTTTTCTATCTTGGTACAAATGCATAATCTGTAAAAATGTAAAAATATAAAAAACTTTGTTTCAACCCAGTATCCAACTTTCTCTATGATTTTTAATGATATTCTCAATTTTTCCACATCTTTTCGAAACTCCATTTCTCCTTTAAAATTTGTGTTTTACTTCACTGAGTTGTGAAGCTAAACTCGTAGTTTTCCTTGCTCGCCACACTGAGAAAACATTCAGCTAAATATGTTTCTCTCAACACAAGATTTGATAACTTGTAATTGTCGTAAATAAACTTCTTTTTTTTTCTCAGTGTAGTAAATTTAAAAAACGCAGCTTGTGTATTGTATGGAGGTATGCATTTATATAAAAGCATTCAATTCTAATAAGACAGACACAAAAGCGATACCAGTACATTTTTCGCAAGGAGATTTTTTATAAGAATTTCTTCTTTTTTTGCTCAATAAATATGTAGTATGCGAGTATATATAATAACAATTGAGTGTGAAAGTGTGTATAAGAATTTATGTGGTTATGTAGACATGTACATTTATAATCTATGTAAAATGTGTATTTGTGTTACTCTGTACGGCAACATTTACATATATGTAGGTATGCATGTAAATATGTATGTTTATGCAAAAGTATTACATATTTTATCAGACAAATTGTTGTGTGACATTTACGTTCGGCAAATAGAGAGTGTATCCAACAAGAAGACTGCACCATTGATGATCATCAACGAACCAGCTGCGAGTGCATTTCGCTTGCGTTCCTTGACCAGGAAGTTCGAGTTATCATGCCATTCATCGATGATAAGGGCACCGGAAATCACGAAGAGAACGCATCCAATAATCGAGATGAGCGCATTAAGACGCTTCTCCACAATCGAGTTGAGTATGTGTCCTAAAATATACAATATAGTATTCGTTTTGAATAAAAAGAAAAAGAGAAAGAAGGATTTTAGTTAGCAGTAAAACTTTACAAAAAAGAGCATTTTTATTAACATTTTAAGAATATGTAGTTATTTGTTAAGATTTTGATATTTGCCCGATCATCTTAGAAATTTCAAAATTAAATTGGCCTAACAATTTACCCAACTAACAACTAACTAAGATTCTGACTCAAAGTCTGTGAACTACTACTTAAGTATTTAACGTGCAAAGTAAACCTTGCTTCAAGAAAATAGTTGGCCTTACACATACATATAAGATAATAAATATTTTTTTTTGCCACAATATTTTATATACTCGTAATTGAATAAGGATATTTTTTCTGCAGAAATCCGAGCTTATATTTGGACTTGTGGTAACCGAAGCGGCTTTATTTTTATCAAAATCAATGCAATAATACAATGGACCGAAATTGAAGAAGAATGGCTCTACTATTATAATTTTTTTTTTAATAAAAAAAATCTAAAATTTGCAGAATATTAACAATCACGACAGGAAAGTTCTTCGTCTAAGCTGCCTTAAAATGACGACTGGAAATTGGTGCTTTTTCGGCGAAAACAGGAGTTATTATAGCTCTAACGGTTCAGACAATTTCTTCGACCCTTTTTGAAAGGAGAAACGTTGCTTGATTAAACTCTAGGATCTGAAAGATAAATGAGAACTTAATTCAATTTTCTAAAGTTGTGCAAAATTCGTGCAAAAAATTAAAGAAATATCTTTTCAACAGTTTTCGCATACGCTTGGACCTTTTACCTAAATATTCCAAAAAACAAAACCACAGGTGCTACAAAAAGGGCGGTAGGAAGAACCGAGTTCAAGATAACCGGAGTGTATTAATATTTAGCTTTTCTTGGCTTATGATAGCTAAAGTTTAAGCGTTAATTCTTTTACATACATTTGTAAGTATGTGTGACTTAATAAAACACCAAATACTATTTTACTCACCAATCAGCAGTACACCGCAAATGATAGTGAAACCTCCCAAAGTACCGCAAACAATCAGCGGTCTTGAGGAGAGGTCGCCAGAGGTCTCCCATAGCACAATGCAGGCGATCGCGATGCCCTACAAATAAATTGTGGTAAAAATATTTTTATTTTTTATGTACATATTTCGAATTACTTAACAAGCATGAATTAAATGAATAAAATTGCAAGCGCATATTAATGAGCACTTTGAATAAAAACACAGTGATATATATACATATGTACATAAATTATGTGTATGTATAATTGACTTTAATCCCTTATCAAAACTTTGGCACATTTTGCACGCTCACTTATTTGCGAGCTACTATTTATATACATACATACACGTTTATTAAGTTTACATATTAATATACATGCATACATACATACATACTTATGTGCGATACACTTTAACGGCGTAAAATAACAATTGAGTCAGCAATAAATATAACCGCAGTTATTATCATTAATGCAGCTGTACCCTTTATCGCATTACGATCCCTGGACTGCACATTATAATGACTGGTCCAACGCTCAATAAAAATGGTGCCAGAGGCAATGAACAATACGCTTACCGATTATTGCGCCAAGCAAATGACCTGAGAGGAGGGTAGGGAGAAAGGTATGCAAAAGTAGGATTGTAGGGGAGAAGTACAAGATAATTAGGTTCAGATTTCAGGGAGTCATATCATATTTATTGATAATTACCAATAAGTAAAACGCAGCAGATAATCAAATAGCCAGTTAGGCTGCCACATACCAACATCGCTTGGCTCGAGAGTACGAGAGGTCGTTGATAGTTTCAAACAGGGTAACTGTTGTTAAAGATGAACACCTGTACAAATTGAAAGGCAGGAGGCCGGGAGGCTTAATATACCCAGAATTAGGCGTACATTTGTGTAGATGATGAGAAATTGGACGTCAGCGAAAGTAGAATAGTTTCAGTGGCCTTGAAGGATTCTAGGTCAACTAACGATTACACAAAACAGGAAAGAGAAGACAAAATTTGATAGGCAGACCCTTTGAACAAATAAGAGACAAGTAAGACATTTACATTTGCAATGTTATTAGTATAGCTGGCATTATCAGCGACGAGCTGTAGAGGTACTAGTGGATTTTGATAGCATCGGCCTGCCCAGTAGAATGTCCACCAATAATGCTCCTATAAGGAAGTGCACTCAATTTAAGCGAACGCCGTTCCCAGGCAAGATTTTCTCAATAAAATCCTCCTAATACTAAATCAGCTTAACCAATTTTTGCCTTTATTCTTCGGACATTCTTTGCAAGATAAAAACGAGTAGTGAATGGCCACGCTGAGGGCCTATCGTTATTTTTCTAATAATGTGACTCATTTCCACTTTGATTCATCGCTCAGTAAATTTATCATCATAACAAAAACTATAATGGCAATAAAATAAAAACGTACAGTAATATTATCCAGACGTGATTTGCATACCGAAATCGAAATAAATATAATAACAAACGTGAAAAAAGCGAAAATTCAGCACACTTACTCCTCTACAAAACAAAAAAAAAATCGGTCCCAGAAATAAACACGCAATTAATTTTTGTTTCACAATGCATTTTATTGCCTTTCGGCGAATTCTCAATTACACATATTTATTTTGAACTTGAAAGTCGTATAAGTATATACATATTTATGTACATATGCAGATACATAAATATACATATATGTACCCACATAAATATGTATTGAGAATGACTACATTATGGAATTTCAAGGGCAATATTATTTATCCTAGGTCACATACAAATATAAAATAAAGTTTTGTAATGAATTGTCGATGGATGAATTGGGCTGAAATATGGACTTTACCATTACGTTCTTAAGAAGAATAGAATGAGAACGAAACTTTCGGAAAATTTTCCAAAATGAACAAAATGAGAACGAAACTTTCGGGAAAGTTTCCAATGAGAACGAAAGTATCGAGTACTTTTTCAAGGAGGATCAAATAAGAATAAAAGTCTGGGGAATGTTGTGCTAGAGAACAAAACGAGAAAAAAAGTTTAAGAATGAGAGGGGAGTCTGCGTGTTGGCATGAAAAATCGTTTCAGTGGTTGATTGTTTATTATAAGTCACGGGAAATCTGGATCATTTCAACTTCCAGATTGTTTATCATTAGGGTAGACTGTCCATTTATGGAACACTTTTTCATTTTTTTTGTGGAAGAAAAGTTCGTGTCTTAAGTCTTTCGTTTACTTAATTGCCAGATGTATCTTTCAGTTCTTTTTTGATTAATTTTAATATTTCAAACATTTCAAACTAATGAAGGCTATGTGACAAATTTTGTTATCGCTTCCGTTCTTCGCGAATACTTCAGAGATATTTGTTCCCGTTTCGTTATCTGTACGAAAGTTCCCAAGAGTTTAGTGCCCAAATTGTTCTTCGAGATAAAGTTCCTTAGACTTTTGTACCCGTTTATTTCGTTTGCAAAACTTTCCGGAGAATTTTGTTCGCATTTTGTTCTCTTTGGAAACGTTTCACAGGGTTTTATTTTTATGTAATTCCCACTGAGAATATTTTCGACAGTTTTGTTCGCATTTTGGTTTTGGTTTTGAAGCATTCTTGGGAACAAACCTATGAGAACAAAATTTAGTTTCGATCATACCTTTTGTTCTCGGTTTCTGGTTTGAACGATTTCAAGAAATTTGATTGAAATTGAACATTTGAAAGGCGGAATTGTCGAAACTTATCCTTCGAAGGTTAGACAGTGGTGGAAACAGGCCTCTTTTAGAATTAGGCAAAGAAGATACCTATAAACTCACGACAGTTTCCGTTGGCTTACCCTTCAATACTTTCTGTCATAGATGAAAGGACTGGGGCTTTTAAAGAGACAGTCAAACACTTTCTGTACGAGTGCCCAGCCCTCGCAAGGATGCAGCTAAAGACATTGGGCAAAATATTCCTGCAGAATATTTCAGAGTGCAGCTGATTATCTCTCTTTATAACATACTGAAATGCCGAATGAGAGTTAGCTCGTCACTTTAAAAAACGGTCCTAAGATTTTAAAATACATACATTAGACTGGTTCAAAAAAATACAATTTTTTTTTCAAATCCATTGTGAAATATTTTCGGGGCAGCCCCTAATATTAAGATTAAGTGGTACCTCATAGCGAATTTCTACTTTCAATTTAAATAACACAGGAAAAATATTTTTTTCATCTTTGCAATTGCGTATCTCCTTTTTAAGTCAACGTATCGGAATCATGGAAGAAAATTGAAGTCTGTAAAAAAGTTTTTTTTATAATTTGTATACAGCTCTCAAGAAAAGCGAAAAATTCATAAAAAAAATTTTTCGATAAAATTTTCTTGAACCACGTCATGAAAATTTCAAGGTTAGCGAAAAAATATTAGTTTTCCACTTCATAATTTCTTTTTATCAATTCAAGCGACTCTCGATCATTAAAGGCTTTTCCATAAACATCTAGCATCTATTTCTTTGTCAAAACACTGTAAATTTGGGTAAAATGTTTTTTTTTTTTACCTTTAAAGAAATCCTGACTTCAAAGTTTCTACTTTCAACTCCATTATAACGTTTCTTTGGTTCGTTCTAAGTATATGTTTTTTAATAGTCATTCAATAGTTTTCCATAAATTTTAGAAATGCACTGTCTTAAGAAAAGGATGTTTGCTTTTGACTTTATTGTTTAAAAAAAAATTAGTAAACTCGGAGTTTGTTCCAAATCGTGTATCATAAAATCGTTCTAGAATATCGGCTCAATGGCTACTGGAAGCTGTGCATCGATTGAGCATTGAAGGTATCACTAAAATGGTACTCACTTTATAAAATTGGGTGAAAATTTTCTCAGTAATATAATTGTTATAGAATCCATATCGTCTGCTCTGGATTCGTTCAAGACAGTTACTGTCTTCTTTATAAAACACAAGATCTGGACAAAGCTGACATAAGGACATATATGTATGTAAAATTTGGCATTACCCGGAAACAGCTCCGATTGGGTGTTTCTGGAGAAATAATTTGCTTGGAGAGTTCCAAAAAATTATTTCAAGAAAAAAGTAACTGCAAAAGCTTGGATAAATGTGTATTTAACAATTTTTCCCTAATTATTCTGCACAATATTTGTTGGTAAGAGTGCATACATACATACATACATACATGTGTATAAATTGCTTAAATGTTCGCATTGCATTTTTATGTTGTTCAGTTTTTATTTATTTGTTATCTAATTAAAGTTGCATCGCCTTTTGCTGCATTACATCATTGCTATTGCAGGCGGGCGATTGTATTTCATGCCAGTTCAGCGACTCACTCACTGCCTCTGGCAGCAATCAATCCAAATGCAAATTAGTGATTCATTCAAGCGTGAAATTCCAGCAATGATAACATTTTTATACTCTTTACGAAGTAGGTACATACATACATATTCATGCTTGGTCGAATGTAATGCGAGCCTTTAATTTTTATCGAAACGAAATGCATATATTTAGCATGCAAATGTATGTATGTATGTATGTACATTAGGGTGGTGCGAAAATTCATTGAAAAAGTAAAGTCGAAACTTTTTTGCTCTCACCCACTATAATTGTTCTATATCAAAAAAAATTTCCACAATTTTTTATTTTGAAATCAAAAAATATTTAGAGGTCACTCAAAGCGCCCAATGTTTTCCATGTATTTTATATGGACAAAAACACTTTTCGTAGAAATCGTATAGAATTCTTGAAAATCAATACTTTTCGATAGGAAGACTCCTATGGGTTGAGAGCATTAAAATCCGAATTTACTAATTTTGGAACACCCTAATATGCATACACACATGCCTACGAGCACATATCTACTTCTCTGTAAATAAAACTTTATACAAATTAGATAAAGTGTGATGTAGCAAAAATTTGATAAAGACAAAGCTGTCTGGTTATGCAAATTATTAACAGACGAAAGTTGAATTTCTCAATTTTTCGCCAAACAAAGGGATTGGTAAGGTGAATTTTGTGTTTAAAAATTCAACAGAAAAAAATCAGAATTAAAACTTGCGTGGTATTTGCATAAAAAAGTACTCATGAATTTCAGAAGAGCTTTAGACTCAATTTAATTTCGTGAAATTTTATGCCA